CTTCAGATTTGAGCTTTAGAAAGAACACCCATGTAAATCGAGAAAAGTCATCAACGATAACAAGAATATACTTGCTACCACCGATGCTTTCGATAGATGAAGGACCACACAAATCAATATGAATTAATTCGAGTGGTTCAACAACTTTTGTGTTGATAATAGATGGATGACTTTGACGACTCTGCTTTCCCATTTCGCATGCAGCACATAGATGATCCCTGTCGAACTTGAGTAATGGAAGGCCCCTTACATGACCTCCTGTAACAAGACGATTGATATCTTTGAAGTTAAGATGAGATAATCTTCGGTGCCACAACCAGCTTTCATTGGATTGCGCTTTTGACAATAAGCATACAACTGGGTTTCCTTTGATGGGTTTCATGTTTAAGGGAAACATTTCACCCTTTCGCTCTGACTTGAGAATTATTTTATTTGACTTTTTCTCTATAATTTCTGAACCTTCATCATCGAATGAGACTTTGAGACCTGTACCTCCAACCAGTTGAGATACACTAATGAGGTTATGTTGGAGTCCTTCCACATAAGCCACCTTCCTTATAGAGAAGTCCCCATTGGTTATCATCCCGTATCCCTTTATGGTGCCGAAAGAATTGTTTCCGAACTTGACGTTGCCACCATTTGCAAGCGATCTGTACTCCCTAAGCTCTTCTTTCCTCCCTGTCATGTGACGTGAGCAGCCACTATCAATGTACCATTCTTCGTCGAACTGCTCGTCACTTATAATCTGCAAAATTTAGAGAGATTTAGGAACCCAAAGTTTCTTGGGTCCACGTGAGCTTTGCATGGAAACAGGAGCAATGAGAGAGATATCAACAAGATAAGTTCTTTTTACGAGAGTTGTTTTATCTTTCCTTTTAATGGTGTACACTTTTATTTTGTTAAGATTAGTAGTGTTAGATTCGGTCTTTGGTGTGGATTTATTGACCTTCTGCTTCCACTTTTGCTCAGTTGATGAATGAGATTTAGAACGAGATCGATATGAAACAGAGGGTGAAGAAGAATTAGAAGAATGAGAAGAATCAGACTTAGAAAGAGACTTTAGGTGACCCTTTTGTTTTTGATCATTGGAGGGACGGACCTTAGAGTTTTGTACTCTTTTGTCTTCAGAACCGAACCTTTGTGTTCGGTTCGAGCCACCTTTGGAACAGAACTTTGGTTCTGGTTGATATCCTTTTCAGAACCGAACTTCTGCTTTCGGTTGTTATCCTTTTGTGAACCGAACCTCGGCTTTCGGTTTTTGGGACTTTCAAGCTTTTCTTCAGGAATGTTTTCATACTTTAGATTCTTGTCTTGATGAGTGAAGTATGCATTCTGGGAACGCCAAAATTGTTTCCTTTCCGAAAGGTTCTTCCGGTATCTATTGTTCCTTTCTATCTTCCTGTTCCGCATCTGAGATGGTTGATGATGAACATTTGCTTTCGTTTTTGCTGACTCCTTGATCGGTTCCTTTGAACTGCGGTAGAATTACTTTGAGCTGAAGAAGCCGAAGGAATGGTTTCTTTTGGTGAGTGAACATCCTTCTGAGGAGTATCTTTTGTACCACTAGTGCTCGGCTCACTGAAGTTATTTGGCTTATTCAATGGTTCGGGTATGTATCTTCCTTTGCTCTTCCAGGAAGTTCGTTCAGATAAACAATGGTTTCGTCTGCATTATCAATAGGAGCTTCCCAGAAGTATTCATCACAGCCATCAGCATTGTCTTTGTTTACAATGGCTGCAAGTTCAGCTGTTTGATGTTCAGTTACTCCTGTTACCTTGTATACTTGATTTGGAGTAGTCCTGACCTTTTGATACACAACAGCTTTCTCAACTAGTTTCGGGGACTTTTGATGGGACAACCGAGCGAACTCTACTGAATTTTCAGAAATAAGATTCTTGTGATTTTCTGGCTCGGTTTTAATAAATTCTGAGCAGTCAACCGTGTCCTCTACAGAAATTTCACTCATATTGTCATCCTCGTTAAGCTCAGATGCATTTTCAACATCAATTTTGTTTTCTGAGCTTACTTTGGCGTTTAAAGAGTCAAATTTTTGTATGGTTTCGGTCCTCAGTTTAAGTCTGTCATTTTCATCCAAAAGATTTTTAAGCATGAGCTTGTGGTCTTTAGATTTAATGAAGGACTCAATTTTGTCCAGTCCATACATGTAGGTGGGATTTATGTCATCAGATGATATCACACTTTCACAGTTATAGGCTTCGGCATCGATTTCATCTTCCTTAAATTCTAGGAAGGGCAAAATCATGCGGTGAATTCTTTGGCCTATTTCACAATCCAAGTGGAGCTGAGTAATATTAGAATACAGACGTTTAGCAATTAAACAAAAAATTTCGTTGTTTTAACAATTTCAAATTGTCTCTTTGCAAATAAATATTTTCATCTTTAACTCTGACTAATTCCGATTCCTTTAACTCTATCCACATTCTCCGCTCCTCACTCTTCGACGCTGCCCTGCTCAATTGATCAGTTAGGTTAGAATTTGTGACCCGAGTTTGAGTTAAGCTACTATCTAGATGAGATATTCTTGAATTGACATTTTTTAGTTCTTTCTCATAAGAGGATGATGGTACTTTGCATGAAATAAAAACAGATTGTACCTTCTTTATCAGTTCATCCAGCTCATTGAACTGTTGGCTGAGTGGTTTGGCTGTGAAGCACATGTCCTCCTTTGCATTCTGTCCATCATGACCTCCATCGGTGTTGTATCCCTCAATTGAGATACACCTGAAACCATAAGGCATTTACCACCACTGCCTTCCGCTTAGACACGAGCGCCTTTCCATGAGTAGGCTGTCTCACTTCCTCGTCTTCTGAGTCGGTAGACCAAACTTCCGTGCTACCGAACTCACCACCTGGAACAGAATCCTGCACAATAAGAGCATTACTAGGCGGGTTAGCAGCAGACTTCTTCTTTCTTAACTCATCTAGCCTTTCTGCAACACAGTTTCCTCATTGTTTCCATCATCTTTCTCAGCCATTTTCTTGAGTACACAGTCCTTAGCATAATGATTTTTCCCACCACAGTAGAAGCAGCTCACTCCAGAGTCGCCGTCAACCTTCGGTTCCTTCTTGTGCTCCTCAACTTTCGGTTCATTAACCACCTTTTCTGAGCTGTAACTTCCCTGCCAGTTTCGGTTTTTGTTGCTGGGAAATTTCTTCTTTATGAACCTTTTGGGATTGGATACCATCAAGGCATAATCTTCTGATGTGAGATCATATTCTTCCAGGCTGAGGTCTTCATCCTCCATAACGGCTTTACTTTTTGACAAGAGAGCCAACGAACCGAGACCGGAAACGACATTCTTTTCTTGCACCACGTTTTTCTCTTGAGACTTGAGAATTCCCACCAGTTTCGCCAAAGAGTATGATTTAAATTGCTCATGGGCTTTAACTGTGGAAACTACTGCTCTCCACTCAGACCTTAGACCATTCAGGAATGTAACTTTCTGTTCGATGAGCTTCCTTTCGATATCATGTTTGATCATCTTGCTGAGAAGATGATTGAAGCGATCGAATGTCTGGGTCACAGATTCTTCAGCCCCTTGTCTGAATTCACCAAACTCAGATAGAAGCAGAGTTTGAATAGAATGTTCGAGATCTTCGTCTGTAGAATACAATTCACGAAGTCTGTCCCAAACATCCTTCGCCGTCGTGCAAGAGCTAACCAATCTGAATGTATCGGACTGAAGGGCGAACCGGATCAATCTTAGTGCTTTGATATTGCATTGGAACTTGTCCTTTTCATCTTGTGCAATGTCTTTCACGTCCTTAAGCAGATCATTGTATTCTTTTTGAGTTTTAATGATTCTGGACGTTGCAGAATGAGAAAACGGTCCGTTTGTGATGGCTTCCCAAATCAAATACCCATTTTCCTCCGACCCAATAACGAAAGTCTTCGAAATGATGTGCCCATACTTCATAATCATTGGTGTATAAGATCGGAATCCTTGTTGTCGAACCAATGCTGTTTGAAATATTAATAACGTTTGATTGTGTCGCGTCCATTATGATCGTAAAAACCTGTTCAAAGATCAGACTTGTAATAAAGCAGATCAGGGCAAAATAATAAATATCAAGATACGTCAATAAAGAGATGACGGCTCAATAAATATTGATGATTGCGGAAAAACCCTAATGAAAATCTTTTTCACAGAAAAGATGTGTATCAATTACACAGCCTCCTGCTCTGATACCAATTGATGAGATTAAATAATCTTTTAATCTTAGAAGATCGATAAGATCTTAAACAAGTTATGAAAACAATGACAATATAAACACAGTAAAATTATGGAACAAGAATGAATCAAACGTGTTGAATGATTAAAACAAAATCCTCAGAAGAGCTCGATTAAGAACATCAACTGTAGAGGATTGGAAGGTTACAAGTATGATTCAAGAAACCTTTAGTCGTCTGAAAAATTGTATACTCAAATCTCTAAAACCTTGACCTAATATGCATGCAAGCATAAGCTTATATACAAAGCATAAAAGACACACGGTTGGACAGGCCCAAACCGTAATACAAAGAATTATAAACAAACGAGCCCAAAAGACGCAATCTTCTAAGCCCAACAACAATGTTATGTGTTAATAAAATAATACGTGTGAGTTTGCACATATTTATTTTCATTTCTGTTGGGTATTTATTAAAACCCGTAAAAAATAGTTATATGATGATAAATATCAACTCTTTAGGATCATTTCTCAGATAATTAAAAATATCATTTCACATTTTTTTGTTTTTTTTTCACCAAACTAAATCCATAACCTATATTTAATTTTTAACTAAAAATAAAAACTAGTTTTAAGATCAATTTTCAAAGATTTATCAAAAAATATTTTTTTTCACACCCATTGCAATTAATGTTACATTATTGTTTTAAATGATATTCAAATAAATAAGACGATAATATAAATAATAAATAATAAATAAATATACATATATAAGAGTGCCTAGCTAGAAGGATGATTATTATTATTATATCGAGTATATATGTAGATCACAACAAAACTCTCTTATACAAAAAGATGTCTGCTGCTGCTACTGCCAGTAGGCTTCTTCACTCTCTTCATCTTCTCTTCATCTTCTTCATCCTCCTAAACCCATTTCAATCTTCCCATGTGAGTTCCTTTCTGCAACTTCTTATCATCATTTACTTTCCTAAATTTCTTCTAATTTTGCTTTGCTTACATTCGTATTTGAATTCTGCGAATTCTCTCAAACTCATAAAATTGTAGATCTTCTCAAATTCCGTTGAAAATTTTCGTGTATCGTTTTGGTTTTCTGATAATTTGGAGTTTCTGGTTTTGATTTCTAGGCGGCGGAGGAAACAATGGTGCCGTTGATGGAGCCCGGAAAACGAGAGATGATGGAATTTGTATTACACGACAGTCGCCGGAAGCTCAACGGCTTCAAGATTTGTGCGCTTTGCACTTGTTGTAACTCCGGCGGTGGTGGCGGTGGCGGCGGCGGTGGTGGTGGTAAATATTGCTTACCTTCTCCTTGTTGCTATGCAATCAACTGCAACATCCCAAATCGCCCTTTTGGATTCTGCTCATTTACTCCAAAAACATGTAACTGCTTTGGATGCCATCTTTGATCAAAACCCCAAATCTATTTTTATGGAAAAAAAAATCGTTTGAAGTTTGAGGGTTTGATTGAAAATTTATTTTTCTTTTTTTTTTGGAAGATTATTTATTTATTATTATTATTATAATTATATGTTATAATTATTATTGTTTGTTTTGTATTTTTTTTTTTTACTTTTTTTGAGGAATTAAAGAAATCTTGGCTGGATTCAATTGTATTGGGTTTAGCAAAGTATTGGGAATGTAGGTGGGGTTTACTTAAATAGGGTAGCTTTTTTCAGAGTTAAAGTTCTGTAATTTAGAGTAGTTTACAACTTTTGAGGCATAAGGTACAAGAGATTTTTGCTTCGTTTTTCTGATTTTGGGATTTTGGATTCGGAAAGGGAGGGTAAAACTGGTATTTCATTATTATGCCTACGACCAAAGTGTACGTAAAAGTCAATGAAGTTATGTAAAAAAGCAATGGTATGTGAGAAAAAAACATTTTTCCTACTTTTTTTTATATTAAAGTTGAATGCTTATTAATTTATCATAACAACGTGTTATATTTTTTATTTGTGTATGATAATTTATTTAAGGTTCGTAGTTATTGTACACATTTAACCATATGTCTTTTCATAGTACATTTTAGCCATTAAATGGTAATTATTTTTGTGCTATGCGTGAAAAGACAAACAAAATCACTGTCCAACACAAAATGACAAAAGTGGAAACTTTATAGGTTTTTTTTAAAAGAAAAATAAAATGTCATTAACGACTTTTTTCAATTAAAGAGCGAGAACTCATTTCTGTTTCATTTTATTGTTTTGTGGGTGAAACAAAATTTTGCAATTATAGTTTTATTGACATCGGTCTATACATCGTATTTTGTCATATGTTTACATAGAAGACAAGGCCTAAAGCTCTTGATTTTGTTTTTTTGTTCGATAGATTGAATTGATGACATGTCATGTTAATAATGAATGTAAAATTAATAAACATCTATTCAAACGACTTGGTTGAAATTAATTAACTCGATTAAGTTTATATAGTGTAGGTATAATGAAAAATATTGAAAGATATTTGGTAGAGAGTTATTAGATATTAATGTGGTAGAAGTTGGGCAGGACCTCATCATTTAAGCCTATCTACCATATGCTACAATTATGATATGGTTGGGTTCTTTTATTTCTTGAATAAGTTATCATTTATGACTCCTTTTAAATGTGAGTTTCTTTTTATTTAAGTTAGAATAGATTAAACATGTTCATGTAACTCAAGAAATATCTAACAAAATTATGTGTAATCAAACAAACTTTATATGAGTTTGATGTAAAAAGTATTTAACTCAAAAAATATCTAACAAAATTATGTTTAATCAAACAAACTTTACATGAGTTTGATGCAAAAAGTATTTAACTCAAAAAATATCTAACAAAATTATGTTTAATAAAACACACTTAATATGAGTTTTGATGCAAAAAGTATTTAACTCAAAAAATATCTAACAAGATTATGTTTAATCAAACAAACTTTATATGAGTTTGATGCAAAAAGTATTTAACTCAAAAAACATCTAAGAAAATTATGTTTAATCAAACAAACTTTATATGAGTTTGATGCAAAAAGTATTTAACTCAAAAAACATCTAAGAAAATTATGTTTAATCAAACAAAGTTTATATGAGTTTGATGCAAAAAGTATTTAACACAAGAAATATCTAACAAAATTGTGTTTCATCAAACAAACTTTATATGAGTTTGATGCAAAAAGTATTTAACTCAAAAAACATCTAAGAAAATTATGTTTAATCAAACAAACTTTATATGAGTTTGATGCAAAAAGTATTTAACTCAAAAAATATCTAGCAAGATTATGTTTAATCAAACAAACTTTATATGAGTTTGATGCAAAAATTGTCAAATGTAGAGCTCAATAAAAATTAAGAAGTCGACATAAGTTCATATAAACTCAATCTCATTTTAACATTTTAACATTTACGACTGTATACATTAAAACCACTATATTTTAGTTATTTTACGGTTTAATCATCATATTTTATATTTTGTTTACATAAATGAGAAAATTATCTCACGATTTTAGATGTTATTTTAGGAGTATATGATTTCATATAGGCATAAGAGAAGTCATGTCAGATTGGTTTAACTGGAAATAATAAGTAGAGGAAATTTTCTTTAAAAAATAGTTGGATTTTAAATAAAGTATAGTAACTAAAACGAAAAAAGAACCAAATTATAGTGTCTTTTACATATATTTTCCATTTTATACACAAATTTGATAAAATTTTGTTTTATTTGCTACAATATTTAACAGGAACATCGTATGTTTAGTTTAGGAGTCTATTAAAATCAAATGGATAAGGCTACGCATTGATTTTGCGTTGAAGTTGCCATGTGCATTGCTGCTTGTTTTCTGAGTGGGACATTTTGACAAACACATGGTAGGCGTTGCCCATTTCGCACCTTCAAGGGTATCGATAGCTTTACTTTGTACTACAAGTCTACAACGTTGTTTTAGTTTTAATAGGTTTATTTTCTTCAACTTTTTTTTAGTATAGATTAAAAAAATTATATAATAATAATATAATATTGTAAACATAGATTATATGTGTCAAACGGATATGTCAGAAAAAAACTTCTGATCAAATGAATGTTTTCGAAAATCAGGTAATGTGTAAGAAATGATTCTAATTAAATGGGCTAGCAGTATTTTAAATTTATTTTTATTTATTCTTTTTGTTGTTTTAAAATCACAAATGCTGTTAATTGTTAATCTCACTGTAACTTGACAAAACTCATACAATTGAAAATAAAAAACTTGGCAAATCACAAAATTAGGTCAAGCGTACTTATAAAGGATGGAATCGGTGTCAAAAAGAAAGGTTGGAAATGGGTGGAATAGACAATTCTAACAAGGAGGAAACGGATCAATGTGAAAGTCAAAAGAGATTTGTGCAATTGTGAAGTGTGAGGCATTTTTTGAGGGCTCGGGTGAGTTACAAATAGTTAGGGCCTCAAGAATTAGCCCATCTTAATATGGAAAACCAAGAAGAAATATATATATATATATATATATATATATATATATATATATATATATATATATATATATATATAGAGAGAGAGAGAGAGAGAGAGAGAAAGAGAGTTCAACTGAGAAAAAAAAAATTTAAGAATGAGAGAATCATTTTCAGCCAATCATTTAATCCAAGTATAAAAAGGCATGGTGACAAACTTGTAAATATGATAATAACTTCAATCTCAAATATGTAACTGTAGAGAATTAAATAACAGTTTAAATCTATTCTTAATCGATCGTTCATCATCCAAATTTCTCCTCCAACCTTCAACAATCATTCAAATTTCTTCAATTAAACCATCATCAACGTTATCCAGTGTTAATCAATCATCGATCTTCATCAATAACGCGTTTATCAACACCATTCAACAGTTGACAACAAAATTCGTTTTTGGTTCTTTAAATTCAACCTTCAATTCTGCTTGAATACGATCATGTTGTAACACCCAAAGTTTCAAAGGCCAAGAAAGGAAAGAAAAGCCCTAATTTAAGGCTCGACTCGGCGAGTCCGAGCGGGATCCGGGTCAAGGTGTAAGTGGCCAACTCGGCGAGTCGGCCAAGTGGACTCGGCGAGTCTGGTCTGTGCGAGGAAAACCCTAAATCCGGGACTTTGGGCGCTATTTAAGCTTCTTATTCTCTCCATTAGGGTTCCTTAGAGCCTCCCTTGTTCAAAAAACGAAGCCTAAGCCTCCATTGTTGTACATTCAAGCTTCCAAGCCATTTTTGGGTAATTTGAAGGAAGAAGAAGGAGGGGAAGCAGTGAAGCTTCAAGGGTTTGCTTCAGATCTGGAGTTTGTGGAACCTTTCTGAAGTATTGAAGGTATTAAGTCATTTCCTTCCCTTAGATCTATTTTGGTTGTGAGTTTTGGGGCTTTTAAGCCATGATTAGCCACCCTTATGGATTAGAAGTCGGATCTGGAGTTTCTACTTCAGATACAAGTGTGTTATGGTCTGGAGAAGCATCAAGTAACAACCATTGAGTCGATCTTGAAGCCCCTTGGCCTTAAACCCTAGTTTATGGCATATTTTGCCTAGATCTCATTCTCTACACGTAAAGTTTGCAACTTTACGTGTGGAATAGGCTTGGGAAGGGTAGATCTACATTTTGGAGTCCATGCATGACTCTAAAATCCTCTGCATGTAAGGAGAACTGAAGGGACTCGGCGAGTAGCATGAAGTTGTGGAGAAACTCGATGAGTGGGATGAACAACTCGTCGAGTCGTATGAAGATTGCCTTGTACTCGGCGAGTCTGTTCTTGGACTTGGCGAGTCAGGTCGCGAAACTCCAAACCCTTCGAGTTGAGACTCGAATCAGTGAGTCGGGTGAAGACTCAGTGAGTTGGACAGGTCTGGACTCAGAAATCGGTAGACTCGGCGAGTCATGGACTGACTCGGCGAGTCGAGTCGCGAATGGAAGGAATCTGAACATTATGAACTCGGCGAGTCAGTAGGGTGACTCGGCGAGTAGGGTTGACCTGGAAGGTTGACTTTGACCAGGACTTTGACCTTGGACCAGGGTGGACTTGGTTGTCTTTCGGGGGTCAGTTTGACTCAGTGTTGCATTGATATTGGTAGTTCGGGGAGCAAGGGGAACAGGAGTTCCGTGAGTGGTCGGGCAGCGACTAGTGAGATCATCAGCAAGTTCAGCCAGTGCAGGTGAGTTTCCATTTATGTGAATGGGTCTAAGGCTACAATGTCGGCCCATGTAGTTATGAGTAGAAGACCCGGGGGTTAGCCCTAGGCACAGTATGCTAGTTTTATTTTCAGGACGAGGTCCAGTAATAGCGGGCGGGTGCCCAAGGAATTGTTTATATGATAGTTTATACTTGTTGTCTGTGTGATACATGTATGTGCCTGGTAGGGAGGTGAGTTTGGGTGAGATCCTGTATCTCACCAATAGCAGAGTGTGGATGGGGTTCCATATCTCATTAGT